AGGAGCTGGACCCTCCCAGCCCCACATTCCTCCACCGGCTCTGCCGGCCTGGCAAGACCCCGGGGCAAAGGGGCTGGTCACCCACTGGTCCCAATTCCCCCCTGGAGCTGGGGCACCAGAGCGGGCTGCGAGGGCGCAGGGCACAAGCCTGTGATGCGAAAGGGGAAACTGAGGCACGGAGGAGGCACCATGTTGGAGGATGGGTTGGCAGGAGTCAAAGTCTTTGCCGGGGCTATGGGGGCAGCTGGGCAAGTGGTCCTGCATCCCTGTTCACCCCACCAAGACCCGACTCCCCACAGGTGCCCAGCGCCCACCCGGTACCTAGAACCAGGGTGGGCACTGGGTCTGCACTCAGCGGCTGTTTGGGGCAGCCAGCCTTGCCCCGAGGGCAGGGAAGAACTCTGGAGCCATCACACCCAAACCTCACCCAAATCCCCAAGCGATCAAGACAAACGGTCCCACCCAGTGCCGGGACGCAGAGGCACCCAAACTCCAGGGCCACCTCATGCTGGCATTTCCCCCTCCAGCCTTCCCCCTCGCTGGCAGCGGGGCTGGACCATGGCCTCCCTTCCCTAGGGAAAGGGTCCCCAAGCCCTTGGGATGGGGCCAGGGACAGTGACGCAGGAACAGGAGCTGCTCCACAGCTCGAGAGCCCCCCACCGCCGGTCCCCCCGGCTACTCTCCATCCAGAGGGGGTTGAGTGCTCCCTCTCCGGTGTTTGCCAAGGGCAGCGACTGCCCACTCCTGCGTGGGAGGGGATCTCCCCCCCTCTTCTCGAGGGGGCTGGGACCACGCCTTCAGATTAAGTGGAAATGGGGCATTCAAAGATTACACAGTCCAGCTGCAGAGGGGAAAACCAGGCACAGCTGCAGCCTCCAGCCCTCCTCCCCCTTCCAATCCCTGCCTTATTCCCCTCCTCCTACCCAGCAGTAATTGCCCCGGGGTCCGCAGATGCCCACGGGGACACGCCAGCCCCCCACCTGCCACCCTGGAGTCCTCCTTGGCGCTCCTCGGCGGGGCGCCAGCAGCGGGGCACGGGAGGGGAGGTGACTCAGGGGGACACTGAGTCACAGTTTCAGCTGCCGGTACCCACCGCTGGGCAGCATACCTGTGGGGTCAAGGCTCGGCTAATAATAACCACCCCGCTGCAAACGAGCCGGCACCGCAGGGGGAAGGGAGAACCCGCCGTGGGGCTCCAGCCAGGGCCAGGGGGACCCAAGGCTTTCGGTCAGACCTGTCCGGTAGCATTATAAGCCCTTATCCGGGGCTCTCCCAGCTCCAACCAGCACCACGATCCTGCTCTCGCCCACGCCGAGCTCCGACACCTTCCCCCTTGGCCAGCTGCTACCCCTGGCCCAGGACAGAGGGGACCTGCTTTCAAGTGTCTCCCTGCGCTGCGGTGGCACCCGGCTCTGCTGCTTCCCCCCCCTTTGCCACCTGCATCCCCCCCGCCGTGGGGGCGAAGCTGCCTGGGGTGAGCAGAGCCTGCCAAGGCTTTTAGGAGATGCTTGGTGGCAGAGGACAAGCCCCTGAGCAGCTTAGACACTGGGAGGCTCCGGCTGATTCACCGGGAGCATCTGCTGAAGACGCCTTGGGCCGTGCCCAGCAGGAAATTCCTGCTTTGTACAGGGCTGGGCGAACCCCGCTCAATTTTTGCTTCAATTCACTGTTTTGATTGCTGGGACAACATGATCTGGGGATAGAAAGCTGAGGTTTGAACTCGAAACCTCCCTCTTTCACAACCAGGGCAGGAGAGGAGCAGACACAGCCCGTTTGCGTAGAGCTCAGCAACGCACAGACACGTACCTGCTGCTCCGGAGGAGCTTCCATTCTTGCAGCATCCCCAAACTTCACTGGATGGTTGAGAGTTTTCTCCCTAGAGCCTGCAGCAGAGGGTAACCAGGAGGCTGCACGCACAAGATAGACACAGGGGAAAGCTCCAGCACCTGATGGCTCCAAAAAACCTTTCATTTTCTATTGGTATGTCAAAGAAAATTGCCCCTCTGCCAGTTCGGGGCATGCTGGTCCCAGGAGGATGCCAAGACAGGGCTATCACAAAGCACAGCCCTGTCCTGGATCACTCGGGAAGGAGATGAAATGGCAGATGGCACCAGGGTCCCTGAAGGGCCAAAGGGATTTGTTCAATGAGGGCAGAGCTGGTAGCCACAGGGAGGGGAACAGCCAGAAACAGCTCTTAGAAAGGCTTTAGCTACCAGGTGACAAGAAGCCTGGGGACAACGTTCAGCAAGGCCCCCAGGACAGTATCTCCGTGTCAGCTGCCCTAACGGGGAGAGGTCACGGTGCAGGAGAGCACCTCTGCTAGCGAGGCACCGCCCGGCTGGCAGCAGAGCCGGGGAGGAAGGTGGCCCGTCACCGCCTGGTGGCACCAGCGCTTCTTGCAGCAGCAGCACAAAGCACAGCAGCCTCCTCCCTCCAGAGGCTCCAACCCCGCGCAAACAGCCACCAATTGCTGCCGTTTCACCTGAGGGGGAAAAAAACCAGGGGCAGGTCCTGCCAGAAGGGCTTCGGGGTGATAGAAGGGGCGATGGCAGCAAGGGGCTGCAGGGGCTGCCACTTCCCCTAGGATGGACACTGCCCCGTCACCAAACTCGCACCGGGGCCACCAGGCTCCAGCAGGCAAAGCAGTGACAGGCTGCAACCCCCAGCCCCTGGGGACCAGCACTTCATGTCCTGCCCCGGCAGAGATGTGTGTCCCTCCAGCAGAGCTGAGCTTTCCCTCCTTTCTCCCAGCTGGACTGAGTGTTCTCCCGGCTGGACTAAGTGTCCCCAGCTCCGTGGAACAGGCTGGTCCCCCAAGAGAAGGCCACCGAGGGGGGAGGCACCCCAGGGCATCAGGCACCTTGGAAGTAAAGCGGCAACTCACGCTGAAAACGAAGCGTTTATCACGAGCAAGGAGGAGGCTTCACTGCAAGAGGTGCCTCGGAGACGGGGAGCTGTGCCGTGCCAGAGGGAAACCTGGTGCCCTAGTGGGAGCGAAATGCTCCCCCCTCCCCACCCCGTCCCCAAAGCACTACCAGCGCAGGCTTCTTGCCTTCACAAGGGGATCTGTCACCTCAGGACCGCCGTGCCAGGGGGTCCTGGCTGTGGCCATCAACCCCACGCCGAGAGGCGAGCGCCGTTTCTACAAAAATACCCTTCCCTCCCCCCAAAAAAGAGGCGGTGCAGAGCAGCGCTCCCGCGGTGCAGTGTTATTGCTCAGTGTGACGGGCGGTCAGACACAGGAACTTAAGGCAACAGGAATGAGTGTGCTGGGGGGCGCCCCGAGACGCGCCCGGCACGGCCGGGCCCCGCGGCAGCTCAGTGTCCCAGGCAGTCCTCGGTGACGCCCTGCGCGGCCAGCTCCGCCAGCACGTTGTCCAGGTAGTTGGGATCCGGGTAGCCGTGGCCACTCAGGTTTGTGTCCATCTCCGTCTTGTGGTGGATCTCGTTCCACACCACTGTGTTGCTCTCACCGGTGGTGCTGGAGGTGCCCACTGTGAAAATCAGGCGTCTTCTCCAGGCCACCCTCAGGAGCTCCAGGACCTAGAGGTGGAAAACCCAAAGCCGGCCTTCAGCAGCGAAGAGACCAGAGACAGGAAAGCAGCTCGCCAGACTTGACCACAACCTAAATCCCTGCTGTAGCAGGAGGAAACCACAGATCCCAGCGTCAGAAGGGATCTCCCTCACCTCCCAGCTACCCACGTGGTGCCCGTGGCGGGAAGGGACACTCCCTACCCATGCTGGTCCTCCAGGACTTGAAAAATAGCGGCACAAGCGGAGACAAACACACCCACCCAGAGAACACGGGGGTGGGAAGAGCCAGCAGCTGGACTTCCCGAGCTGAGCAGTTCTCAGCGCAAACCCTTGTAACTGCCCAAGACAGGCCAGGCGTGTCTTCCCGAAGGATCAGACGGGATTTGTTCGGTAAAGGGACGAAGGAAAACAAGTCTCCGCAGCCAAAGCTGGGAAGAAGCAACAAAGATCTTTGCGAGCAGAGGGGTTACAAATACACATAGGGAACAGCAGCGTGGACAACTCCCAGGAAGAGCTGGTTAGCACCATGGGGACAGCTCCCAAAGTGACCCTGCTGTGCTGATCCACCAACAGGGGGCCAAGGGACAACCAGAGAAGGGTCACGTTACCAGGGCACGATACCTCACCTTTCTGCCCTTCTCGTTGTCCGGCAGGTAGCAATAGCGGGGAAAGCCTCTTGCCGTGTACGGCATCCCAGGGTTGGGGTGCTCAGGGCCCTGCAATAGATAAGACACACTCAGCATGTACACGGGCACCTTCACAGCAGCTGGACAACCCCTCAGCAGCGGGATTTGATAGAGGCCCATCTCACACCAGCCTTTCCATGTGAAAGGAGCAAGGTATTGCTGCTGATGACTGAGGTATCTGACTTGTTCTGATGGGACACGGACCTTGTTATACGTCCTCCAAGAGGCGTCTCTTGCTGGGATACAAAGCCTGCTCTTCAGGTTACTGACATTCTGCTGGGAGGCAGCCCCAAATGACGGCTTTTTGCACGTGGTCTGATGACATCCCAAAGAGCCCACCCAGCTCAAACCTTTGCAAGCTCACTGCAACCACCGAAACCTCTGACGCGGGCTGCGAAACAGACGTTGGGATCTCTCCCACCCTGTGAGCGCGGGCTGAGTCTCTGCCCTGCTCCATGCGGACATGTGTCTTTACTGCAGGTGAAAGGCTGTTGTAGATCTTGGGGCCACTCTCAAAGACCTTTCATGGAGGAGACCCAAATTATCCCCACACTGAAGAACAGCCAGTGCACCTGCTGGCTCCAGGCACCATAGGTGGCCTGCCAGCAGGCACTGTACTGGATCCCAGTGCCCTTCTGGGAGGTTCTCACAGCTTGGGCCATCTGGCAGCAGCTGCTCCCACGAGCGGGCTGTGCGCTCACCTGAATGCCTCTGCTGATGTGATAGACAATCTGGATTGTCCCGCAGTCCTTGTGGCCAGGGAGGGACTGGGGGAAAGTGGAGACCTCCATCTTCCCTTTGGGCTGAGTACCGGTTTTCTCTCCGTAGATGGCTTTGCAAGACGGACACTGCAAACTGCCATCCTGCGAGGGGAGAGAAGCAGGATCAGAGCTCCCCAGCTGTCACCCGGGCACAGGGGACCTGGTGGGGACGGGCCAGCTCGGTACCTTGTTCCCGCTGGAGTACATGGCCAGCATGCAGAGCATGTGGAAGGAGTGCTGGCAGTTTGTCAGGCGACCGACCGTCTCTGGCTTGATTGTGCTGCACTCGCACGCGTCGCTGTAGCCCGAGGGGGAGGACAGCTTCTCCATGCAGATGATGCAGTCCTGGAGTCCAAGACAGAAAGGAGAAATCCACTGTGTAGGGCGAGCACAGGCTGATCGTCATGACCAACCAAGGACGTGACCAAGGGGATGCTTCAGGAAGATTTGCCTTCAACTTTCACCCTTCCCTTCGAGGTTTAAGGCACAGAGACGGGTTCCCTCACCTGGCTGGTACTGCCCCGCTCCCTCACCTCCCGGGCAGCAGAAGAGAGCTGCCATCAGTCAGAGGGGATGAGAGGGAACTGAGTGTGCTTATGGCCTGCTCCTCTGCAGGGTTTTGATCTCTGCAGTTTTGACCTCTACGAGCACTGAGAGGAGACCCAAGCCAGACTCCCTCCTCCACCCCAGGCCCTGCAGCCAGCTCCAAGGGAAATGGGGAGGCATTGCCAGGCTTTGCCATTCAACCCCCACCGTGCTTTCTCTGACGAGGACAAGTCACCAGTTACCACTTGTGGGCTCCAGGCAGTGCTGAGGCCTCTCCGTCTGGCGTCAACGGTGCCACGGCAAGCAGCACTATCTGCCACACGGGGTGCCCAAGGAAGGATGGTCCTGAGGCATCACCGTGGTTTTCACAGCGCCCCAGTGAAGGGCCACTGGGCAAGCCAGAGTTGCTTCACTGTCCTCTCACCTCATCGCCAGGAGCGCGCTTCAGCTCTTCCAGGTACTTCCTCACCACTGCTTCTGGCTCGGTTGGTGTCGCTGCGCAAGGAGAGAGATGAGAAAGAGAGAGCAGAGGAGATCAGACACGCCGTGAGGTATGACGGGCACGTGCAGGGTGAGCTAGAGAGAAGGGAGACAAGCAAGTCACTGGCCAGGACGCCAAGGAGAAAGGTTAGGGTTACAGGGGGAGAAGAGGCTGCTCCAACTGATCCCTACAAGCCCCACAAAGGCTTTGCTATCAGAAATGGCTACCACTAGGACCAGGAGAACCCCCTGACAGCTGCTGGTGTCCTGTGCTGTACACCCAGGGGTCTGCCTGTAGCTGCTGTGCTCCAGACCTCCCCATGCACCCCAAGCGACGCCAGCCAAGTCTCAGGACTTCCTCTGTGCACACCAGAGGCCAGCTAGGATCACACTCTACCCAAGGACCTACGGTCTCAACGGCATAGAGGATTACATCATCTGTGCTGTCAAAGGAGAAAAGGCATTCCCACACGGCCCCAGCTGGCACCCGACGAGGAGGCCCACCGATACACTAAGCTTCAGGCCCCGTTTCAAGTGTGGCAGAACAAGCCTCGCATCCTTAGCACGGAACAGCGGCCTTTCCCTCGAGCTTCCACACACTCACGTCCAGCAAGACGCAGTGCAGGTCTCAGGGTGTATAAACCAACCAGCTTTCTAACAGGTACCCTATTTGCAGCATGTGACACCGATATCTTCGCATCTTCCTAAATACCGTCCCTGGTGCCCATCCACCAGCACCCGAGCAGCCCACCAGCACCGGCAGCCCGGTCCCCTCAGAGGCATGACGGGCTAAGCAATAAACATCCCACAACACCCGGAGCAAGTCACCGCCAAGCACATCAGCGGTCACCTCAACTCCCAGCCCAGCCTTCCAGAGCTGCCCAGCGAGGCTTGGCTGAAGGCAGCGAGCATCGCACGCCTCCGCACGGCGCCCAGCCCCGGCGAGAGGAGAGGAGCTCCTTACCGGTCATCAGGCCCGTCACAGAGGCTGCCAGGCTCTTCCACCAGCCTAGGAAAGGAAACATTTGCACAAGTGACGTTAAGACTCCACGTGGCAGGAGGCAAAAGAGAGACCTGTCACTTGGCTCGGGGAAAACCTCGCTCTTCCTTCCCAAATCTGCTTCTGAGGGAGATCAGGGGAAAGCAGCACTGCGACAAACGGGCCAGCAAAGGCGTAGCTCTTCCTTCTCCATCCTCCGTCCTGGCCGGCTGCGACAGAGAGCAAGGAGCAAAGGAAACGTCAGCAGCAGCCAGGCTGGCCACAAGCACCCGTGCACGACACCACAGGGTCACAAGGCAGTGGTACTCCAACGCTGCCCCAAAAACCTTTGCTCTCAAGCTCATTTCTAAGCCACCGTGGGACATCGATTCTTTAGCACAGAGATTACTGCTTCTCCAAGCTCCACGCTCCCAGGCGGACACAGAGCACCACCACTTGAAGAGCCAAGCATCAGAGCTGCGGGTGTACCCGCGCAACACGCATCCTCAGCTCTCCCCAGCAACTTCAGTGCTTTCAAGGACGATGGAGGGATTCCCAGGCATTGCCTCTGCGGTTGGGAAAGCTGTGCATCAAGAGAGCGCCACACCGGAGGCAGCACCGAGCTGTTTGGCCACCCCAAAAAAGCAATGTCTGTCACCAGCAGGAAGGGGTGGGTGCTATTTCCTGGATAACCAGTTTTCATGGTAGAGGCAAACACGGGGAAGCAGAAGGGAAGGACTGCTCACATGCCCCAGGTGTCACTAAACAGGCACGGACCTGGATGGCCGTTTCAGCTACAGATCCTGTATCACGCAGGAGCCCCTCGTTCCCTCCAACGCCAGCTCCGCAAGCGGCGAGTGCTACGGGGGCACTTCGACAGAGAGCACAAGGCCACCTCGCAGCACAGACAGCTGGGCGAGATGCAACCAGGGAAAAGATGCTTCTCTCCACTGCAAGCAAGCTAGCTTGGGGCGAGAGAAGAGAGTGAGGCAGAGCACTGATGTGGGTGGAAAATTGTTTAGCTAAGGAACACCGATGAACTGAGAGATGGACTCTCCTAAACGAAACCACAGTCATTAAGATGAGTCATTTTCAGAAGGGGATTCCTGGTCATCCCGAAACACATGACTGCTGGCAGCGGTAGCAGGAGGAAGGGATGACTGAGCACACAGAGAAAGAAAAGGAGCCCAAAAGGGATGCTCCTTCCGTGTGCCAGTGTCAGGCAGGAGGAGAGATGCCTGGCATCTTAGGCAGAACAGGGCTGGGCAGATCACCCTCTGGAGACCCTTAGCCAGGAAGGCGGTAACAGGATAAAAGAAGCATTAAGCAACACAGAAGCAGGTGTTTTCCACGTCAGGGGCATGCCAAAATCCCCCGGAAAAGCATTTCCAAGAACTGCCCCAAGAAAAGCAGGAGACAAAGATCAGCACAGGCAAGCGTCAGCCTCCCAGCTCCAGGCCAAGAGCCCAGCAGTGCCAGGAGCTGCTTCGAGGCCTCATCACTAGATCTCACAGGGAATGTGGCTCCTGGTCTTGCCTTTTCCAAAGGAGAGAAGTGGGTCCAGGAATCCTCTCTCCTGGGACCTTGCTTGCACACAGTGGATCCAGAGCTGCCAGCCAGGAACGAGTGGCAAGGAGATGTGATCAGGCTGAACTGTCACCGGTCGCTGTCAGAGCTCAGCTCGGCACTTGCTGTGCCCGAAGCCCCCCCCCAGCCCAGCGTTCCGCGAGGTCCCCGCTCCAGGCTGGCACTTCCCACGCGGGGCAGTTGGAACCGGGCTCTGGTTTGCAAGCGCATGGTCACACGGGAGACAGAGACTTCAGCTGCTTCTGCTCTGCAGGTTTCTGCAGGTTATTGTGTGAGCGGGGCTGGCTGCTACCCACCACAACTCCACCTGCCTCTAGGACCACCCGATCATGAACTTGTTCTCATTCCCGAGGATCCCGCGCTGCCTGTCAGACTGACCACCGAGCCCTTCTCCACCTGAGCTGCGTTTTCCAGGTGGCTCTTTCAGAAGCGACCTTCTTGTCTCCTCTGGCTGCGGGCTGGAGAAAGCAATGCCAAAAAGATGCGCAGACAAGGTGGTGAAGACAGCGAGGGAAGCGAGCAGAGAGGTGTGTTACACCAGCAGCAGCACCTGCCCAGCACTTGGCAGGACGCCCCAGCTCACCTGCTCCCACCTGCACGGCAGATCTGAGCAGCTTTAGAGCAATTCACCTCGTTCAGGAGGGTGGAGGACGCTCCTTCCCTGCGGCCCTGCTCTGCATTTCTCTTGCTCTTGACTTTCCTTCCTCTGCAGCTCAGAGAAACAAAGACATGACATGCCCAAGAACTGGCCAGGCTCATTCAAATCAAATCAATGAAAGGAGACAAAAATCCTGGTGCAGAGCTGGTAAGAATGAGGACAAGAAAGCTCTTGCAGAGTCTGTGGGGTACAGCAGGGATGTCGGGCAAAGCAAATGTCATTACACCACCTCGCCAGCCGGCGTTAGAATGGAGGTGGGGGCAATCAGACAGGCAGAAGAGGGTGATGCAGCCCTCAGCCATCCTTAAGAAGCTCACGCCTGATGGGTTTGCATTGTGACATCTCTGATCTGTTCCTGTCACTGCTGTGGTAATGCTCCGATGCATTTAGATCCACCAAGGCTGCCTGGAGAGCCCAGATGCATGAGAAAAATCTGCCCCCAGCTGCAAGTATTTCAAAGTCCACTGCCAAAGAAGCCTTTTGATGCTGAGAACTCGTTTCAGCCAGGGTAGCAAAGCCCACAAAGAGAGGCTCTTCCTTTGGCAGACCAGCACATCTGGCAGGCCCCATCCCAGCAGAGAGCTGGAAGGAGGCTGGGAGGCACAGCGCCCACCACGGCACGACACACACACACGCTTCAGCGCATGAATCCTTTCCTTACTGGACCATTTGCTCCATAAAAGTGTTTGTTCTGGCCAACCCTTGCGATCATCAAAGCCTGTTCAGTCCCCAGACTTTTCCAGATTCAATAGTGGATTGAAAATGCAGTAGCAGAATTGACTAATGCTGTTTATCACCAGCTGGCCGAACGCTGTGCTATCGATTTATCTGGGATGTGAAGGAATGTTTACTATCCTGTCATTTACAAAGAAAGGAGTAACCATTTTTTTCTCAATGCTTCCCCTTCCTCCCTGTAGATAATCAGTTGCTTGCTGAAGCAAGGGCTTTCCACAGGCAACATTTAACAGATGTGTTTTGAACCATTGCTCAGCAACCAAATGCTTGCAGCAGTAACATGCCTCCTTCTGCAGCCCCAAACGAGCCATATGGTTTGCAGCAGACTTTTTTTGATACCCTGTGCAGGCCAGACACAGGTTGTTTTAGTTACTGTCATGGACAGTCACCCATCTCTGATCACCTCTGCCCTTGCAAAGGCTGCACCTACTGGCCTGCCCCACCAAGAGGGCAGTCTGGAGATCAGGAAGGCGAGAAGAGATTTGGTGTTAAAACCAGGTTTCTCCACTTTTAGCATTTCAGC